TCCAGAAACACCCTCCCAGACACACCCAGAAATGTTTTACCAGCTATCTGGGCATCCCTTGTCCAAGTTAAATTGACACGTTTTTTTTTTTTGAGAAAGAGTCTCACTCTGTCACTCAGGCTGGAGGGTAGTGGTATGATCTAGGCTCACTGCAACCTCCGCCTCCCAGTTCAAGCAATTCTCCTGCCTCAGTCTCCCAAGTAGTAGCTGGAATTATAGGCACATGCCACCACACCTGGCTAATTTTTGTATTTTTAGTAGAGATGAGGTTTCGCCATCTTGGCCAGGCTGGTCTCGAACTCCCGACCTCAAGTGATCTGCCCACCTCAGCCTCCCAAAGTGCTGAGATTACAGGAGTGGGCCACTGCACCCAGCCTTGACACATAAAATTAACCATCACACCCCCTGTCTCCCTTGTACTACAATGGGGTTTTGTTGTAGGGGAGACAGATTGGGCTTAACTCAGAACACAACAAAGAAGTGTGGGAACTTAGAGCCAAGGAGCAAGTTGGAGATCAGTGAATGGATTAAAACCGCCTGTGTTTTCATCTATAAAATGTGGCTAGTGTGATGGTGAGGATTAAATGAGCTCTATATGTATTGCATTTGGAACAATGCTTAGACAAGGTAAGAGTGACATAAGCGTTTGCAGTCATTATTTATATTTTGTCCCCTGGGCACCTCAAACTCAACTCCTCTAAGACTCAACCTCTCATCTTCCCTCTAATCCTGCCCCTTCCTGCATCTTTTTCTCCTAGGTTGCCTTCTAACTGGTATTCATGCTTCTAGCTTTATCCCTGCCAACTCCATCCTCTAAACAGTTACCATGGTGCTCCATCTAATAAAAAAATCTAAGTTGATCTGATTTACCCAGAACCCTCTGAAAATGACAGAAACCAAATTCAAACCACTGTAAACAAACAAACAAAGAGTGAGTTTATTGGCTCATGTGAATCATCTAGGGGAAGAATCAGCTTCTGGCATGGCTGGATTCCAGTTGCCCAGACAAGTTCATTAAGACGATGTCTCTCCTCTCTGCTCCACTCCGCTCCACTCTGCGGCTTCATTCTCAAGCAGGCCCTCCCCAGTGGTTAAGAGTTTCCAGGGCTAAATCTTACAATTTTATTAATGCCAAAAAAAGGTGAATGTTCCTTTCCTAATTGCTTCAATTGAAAGTTGAAGAAGGCTGGGTGCAGTGGCTCACACCTGTAATCCCAGTACTTTGGGAGGCCAAGGGTTTGAGACCAGCCTGGCCAACATGGAGAAACCCCATATTTACTAAAAATACAAAAATTAGCTGGGCATGGTGGTGGGCACCTGTAATTCAGCTACTTGGAATGCTAAGGCAGGAGAATAGCTTGAACCTAGGAGGCAGAGATTGTAGTGGGCCAAGATGGCACCACTGCACTCCAGCCTGGGTGACAGAGTGGGACTCCATCTCAAAGAGAAAAAAAAATTTCAAAGAAGAGTCTCATTGGACTAGTTTGGGTTCACACACCACCCTTGAACCCATTACTTTGACAGGGGCTATGCAGTGCTCAGCCTGAAGTCAGAGAATGGGATCAGCCCCACCCAATCATGTAAACTGAGAGGAAGGAAAGGGTTCCCCAAGAAGAAAAGATAGTATTTGCTACTAAAAGGCAGGATACGAAGCAGTCAAAAGCTACTGATGTCCTAGCATCATTCTGCAGAAAGACACCCCACTACACCCATCAGGATAAACTCTCAAGCTCTCAGAATAGAATACAAGGCTCTTCATGATTTGATCATTTTTACTTGTGAAGCTTTACCTCCCTGCCACTGTGCCATGTGCACCTTAGGCTCCTACAACACTGTACATTGTGCCCCATGCAGTTCTTGTATCCAACTCTGGGTCATGCATTCCCTTCTGAAATACCCATCCTCTTTGTCTGGCTAATTCCAACTTACTCTTGAATGCTCTTGGGTCTCACCTAGACTGGAAGGATCTCCCTGAACCACCCTGTTCCAGGCTGTCACAAAGATGGCACTTTTTGGGCCGGGCACGGTGACTCACACCTGCAATCCCAGCACTTTGGGAGGCCGAGGCAGGTGGATCACGAGGTCAAGAGATCAAGACCATCCTGGTCAACATGGTGAAACCCCGTCTCTACTAAAAAATACCAACAAAATTAGCTGGGCATAGTAGTGCGTGCCTGTAATCCCAGCTACTCAGGAGGCTGAGGCAGAAGAATTGCCTGAACCCAGGAGGCGGAGGTTGTGGTGAGCCGAGATTGCGCCATTACACTCAAGCCTGGGTAACAAGAGCAAAACTCCGTCTAAGAAAAAAAAAAAGATGGCACTTTTTGAACATTTTCTGAACACTAAGGAGTTTGGCATAGAGTAGTTGCCCAGTAAACACTGAATTAATAAATGAATACAGGGATGAATGAATGAAGGATGAGTGATAGAGTAGAAACAACAAATATTTTTTGAATGAATCAATCGGATAGAAGGAAAATATGTATTGCCTCATGTAACTAAAAATCCAGGGTAAGAGCTGAATTTATGAATAAATGAATGGATGGATGGATGGATGGATGGATGGATGGAAAGATGGAAGGACTGATAAACAGATGGGTGAATAGATGGGTGGATGGATGGAAGGGTGATGAATAATGGATGGAAAGATAGATGAATAGATGGAAGGAAAGATGGAAGGACTGATGAACAGATGGATGGATGGATAATGGATGGAAGGATGGATGGATGAAAGGAAGGAAGAAGGGATGGATGATGGAAAGATGGATGGATAGATGGAAGGAAAGATGGAAGGACTGATGAACAGATGGATGGAAGGATGGATGGATGAAAGGAAGGAAGAAGGGATGGATGATGGAAAGATGGATGAATAGATGGAAGGAAAGATGGAAGGACTGATGAACAGATGGATGAATGGATGGATGGATGGATAATGGATGGGAGGATAGATGGATGAAAGGAAGGAAGAAGGGATGGATGGATAGATAAGTTAATAAATAAACCCCTCATCTTCCAGCATTTTGGAAAGTTGGCCATTGCAGGCCTGTTTTTCCAGAGGTTAAAGTTTTATTTGAGTAGACATAATCCTAACCACTTTTACCAGGCACTTAAGAAATTCTTGAACCTCAAAGGGAGACAGATGAGTGATCCTAAGTCTCCAGTGGATAACTGGAATGTTCTTAAAAGGAAACTGGGTGCTTTTTTCTGTTACAGATTAACTTGCTAGTAAATTGCAGCATGGCTGCCACAGCTGGAGGTGAATGAAGAATTCTGTTTTTAAAAGCCCTCAGAGAACTTGAATTTAATTAAATGAGCATTTTACTTCATTCCAAAAGGAAGCAAAACAAACCACCCTGTTTCTGAACTTCTAAGAACCTAAAGCTTCCTTCCTTTGATTTGGTAAAAAGCTGAGTGAGTTCTGCCCCTCAGGAGCTAGTGAAATAAGGGCAGCCCCGCCTCAAAGCCTCACCACCAGCTGTGAACTCATTCCATAGAGTCCTGAGTGTGGACATTGGAAGCAGCTCTCACCGTGCAGGGTCCTGTTTTGCAAGGTGAATTTCCACTGGGAGGGAGGAGGGAGAAAAACAGAGTTGTCTCAAAAAAAAAAAAAAAAATTGAAAGCAGTTCCCAGAGCTTGGCCTATCCCCGGTAAGCTGTGCAAAGAGGCCCCAAACTTCCTGATCCCCAGCTGCAAGCCCAGGCCTGTTTTCTGGCCTGCAGCAAGCTTAGCACCCCTGGGACTGGGCAGGGCTTTGGGCCAGCTGACAGGGCCCCCATCCCTCCTGCTCCTCCAGGCTCTGCTGAAGCAAAGGGAAGCTCTGTAGTCAATTTCAGGCTGAACTGCTTTGCTTCTTGTGCCTCTGTCCGTCTGTATTTCTTCCCCACCACAGTAGCCTTGTTGCTCAAAAGAATATCATTCAGTTTCTCAGGTTTTTATGGCCAAAAAGAAGGGTACTTTGTAGTAGCTTACTGCTTCTTCCTCCCTCTCTCCCTCCCTCATCCCTCATTCCTCCAACTCCCTGGATTACTTCCTTTCGTTCTCACCCACCCTCTCCCCTTTCTCTTCCTCCCTCTTCCCTACCCTTTCCCCCGCCCCCGCCCTCTCCTCTCACGTCCTCCCTCTCCTTTTCTCCCTCTCCCTTTCTCCCTCTCCCCACTCTTTTATCTCCCTACCTCTTCCCTCTCTTTCTGTCCATCTCCCTCTCTTCCTTCTCCTCCTCCCTCTCTTCCTCTCTTTTCCCTCCTCCTTTCTTACTTTCTCTCCTCCCTCCTCCCCTTCTCCCTCCCTCCCTCCTCCTCCCTCTCCCTACTTCTTCCTTCTCTTTCTCTCCCTCCATCTCTTTCTTTCCTCCATCTCTTCCTCCCTCCTTCCACCTCCCTCTCCATCTCTTCCTTCCTCCTCCTCTCCCACCATCAGAGTAAAAATAAAAAAGCCCTCATTTCATCACTCCACTGCAGGTGGACTCCAAGCTGACCAGTTACCTACTTCTCAATAGGCAGATATGTCCCAGTGAATAAAGAGAAATGGTCTTCACCAGGCACAGGCTATAAAGGGACTCGTATTTCAGTTTAATCGTGAGAAAGACCCTGCCTGCACTTTAAGCCGCACTTTATATGCATTTCCCAAGCCATACTGCTGGGGCTCAACTGTGGGTTCTGCTACTTCCTGGCTCCCCATACTCAGGCAAGTGACTTTTTCTCCATTTCCTCATCTGTAAAATGGGCGTGGCTGGGTGGCATTAAACCATCTATGGAAAGTTCTCAGCGTGGCGCCTGGTGCAAAGCAACAGCTCCCTCGCCTCTCTTCTCACTCCTGTTCCACAGAATTACACCCACCCTTCTCCGCTGATCCTCTAATCTCAGATCCCCAATTCTGTCTTTCAAATGTGTTGTGTCATCATTTATTTGCAAACATGTCTATTTGATTTCAGATGAAATGCTTTTGAGTGGAATTGAAAACAAAACACATGCGGGGGAGAAAAGAAAGGCTGACAGACATGTTAGTAAACAGCGAAATATTTTTGAGAGCTGGATGCAGATAGCTCAGATGCTAGAGGGCTGAAATGGACACTTTGGCTATGAAGAGATAAATGCATGTTAGCAGAGGGACCTTTTTCCGGGGAATTAAGGAGCCGGGAACACAAATCTCTCTGCTTTCCTTCCCACCAGGGCTCTATGTCCCACTTATTGGAGGTCTTTTACCTTCCATTTACGGGATCCCAGTCAGATCCTGATATTTTCCATAGTTCCTTAACAACATTTGAAGTTAGATATTAAATTATTCATAGAGAGGATGTGGAGTGAGCCAAGCGCAACATGTTGCCGTCAGGGGTGTTGGCTACTCCGCCAGCTGTTGCAAAAAGGAGAAAGAAACAGCAAACTGACATCCACACACCCCATACATTACAACCAAGGTGCCTTCTGACTTCAGGAAAGCCAGGCAGGCAGGGATCACTCTCACAGCCTGACAGCAGATATTCCCTGGAGCCAGAACAGTCTGCTCTGAGGCTGGTCTGCATCCAGAAGTTGCAGGAAAGTTCCACAGTGTGTGAAGACTTCTTTTGTCCTCTCTGTAGGAGAGCTGGGGAAAGAGGATTCCTTATAGACTCATCCTTCCCACCCCTTTAAGGATGAGCAAAGGCCGCTAAAAACATCTGAAGCCTGAATACCAAAGCTGGAGGCTTTCTCTCTCCTCCCAGTGATCAGAGCTTCTCAGGGTGGGGATTGTCTCAGGTTCACGGGCCAAAGGCAGTTCCAGGAAGGAGGTGAGGGTCTGACTCTGGAGAGACGCATCTCAGCTCTTTGGCTCAGGGGTTTCATCCTTCAGTGGGGCATCCTTGCAGTCTGCTGCCTGGGTGCTGTTTTCCACACCTGGCTCTCCTCCCTCACACTCTTCTCCAGGCTTCTGGGACTCAGCTGCCACTGTGGTGGTCTTGCTGGCATGGCACCCCATCTCAGAGGGACACAGAGGATCCAGTGCCCTTGGACGTTCCGGAAGGAGGAAGGTCTGTGTGGCAGATCCTCAGGGGCCAGCGTTAAATAACCGTCCTCAGAGCTCTGTTGAAAAGAGCCAGCTCTGTTTCTATGGCCACAAGGAGACGCCCCCTGTGCATAAAAAGCCCACTGTGTGGTGGGCAGGGCCTGGAGGGCTGCCCTTCCAGCTAACCTGGCCAATTCCAGGCACTGTGCCTCATTCATTCCATCAGAAGAATTCCCTTTTGTTTAATCTATAACTTACAAATCACCCCACCACCACCTCCTAGTTACCTGTAAACACCAGCCTCTATCTATGCAAACCAAGCCCTGTCACTATGCAACAGGCTGTGGACTCCCTCCATATCTCAGGGCCACATTCCGTTCCTGGGACTCACAGAAGCCCCCACTTAGAGACCACCCTTTAACCTAGAATGCCAACTCCACCCAGTATTGAGGAATAGAGAGTCTTAGGACTGTGGACTCTCGGGGTTATCCAAACAGGTGAGTCATTAAAATAACTAGCTAATAGATGCTAGGAGCTACTCTGTGCCAAGCACAGTTCACACCCATTATCTTGTTTACAACCCTAAGAAGTAGGTGTATTATTTGATCTTCATTTAACACATGGAAACACCAAGACACGAGAGATTGAGTAATTTATCTGAGGTAGTTTTATCAGCCAGGAAATAGCAGAGCTGGGATTTGAACCCAAGTCCTCTGCCTTCCAACCTCTTTTTTCTTTTTTTTTTTTTTGAGATAGAGTCTCGCTCTGTCGCCAGGCTGGAGTGCAGTGGCACGATCTTGGCTCACTGCAATCTCCGCCTCCCAGGTTCAAGTGATTCTCCTGTCTCAGCCTCCCAAGTAGCCAGGACTACAGGTACGTGCCACCACATCCAGCTAATTTTTGTATTTTTAGTAGAGACAGGGTTTCACCATGTTGGCCAGGATGGTCTGGATCTCCTGACCTCGTGATCTGACTGCCTTGGCCTCCCAAATTGCTGGGATTACAGGCGTGAGCCACCGCGCCTGGCCCAACCTCTTATATTTTTCTTTTTATTTTCTTTTTATTTGTTTTACACAAGGTCTCACTCTGTTGCCTAGCCTGGAGTGTGGTGGTAAAATTACTGCTCAGCACAGCTTCAACCTAGGCTCCAGTGATCCTCTCAGCTGAGCCTCCCAAGTAGCAGGGAGGTGTGTGCCACCATGCCCAGCTAAGTTTTGTATGTTATCTTTATAGAGATCCCAGGGGTGTGGGGAGTGGCGGGGCTCTCACCTTGTTGCCCAGACTGGTCTCAAACTCCTGGGTTCAAGCGATCTGCCTGCTCAGCCTCCCAAAGTGTTGAGATTACAGGTGTAAGGCACCCACTCTCTTTATCACTATGTTAATATGTATTTTAAAGACCCCGTCAGGCTATCTTCACATACCATGACAGATGTTATCCACTTTGTAGGCTGTTGTTGCGCTTTTAATCTGGGATACAAGGGTAAAGGTTTTCACAGCGGTGAGCGATCTCTGATGTGAATACTTCCCGAGTGAAGCTTCGTGTTCTATGCAACTGGAGTTCGGAACTCCTGTGCTCTATAGTCAACCCTGTGTTATTTTCCAATCACTTAGCATTTGTTTTCCTAACTCTAGTAGGGGACTGATAATCCTGACTCAGCTCCTAGGAAGCTAGAAGGAGGGTCATGCAGGACTGTGAAGCGGCTTTTCAGAGAAGTACATTTACAATGATTCTTTGTGTATGCACACAGCAGTCAAAGGTGACGTTGATTCGGATTTCACTTGTGGAGGGCAGGTGCATACCGGCCTCGGACACTTTACACAGACCTTCTTGGTTATTCCCCATAATCACAGTCCTACAAGGAAGTATTATTAATCCCACTTTAGAGTTCAAATCACTGAGTCCAGAGTGGTTAAGGGTTGGTTACCTGGAGTCACAAACCTAGTAAGCAGCCAGCTCAGGATGTAAGCATAGGCCCCACTGCCTCCAGAGCCTGTGATCTTCCCACTCCAAGCCACTTTCTGCCCCTACCTCTGGTGAGTGCCATTCCTCCTCCCTGGGCCTGGGCATCCAGTGACCTTCAAGAAAGCCACGAAACTCCGGTTCAACTTTCTTTGAACAAGCTTCTTGCCAGCAGGGCCTGGCAGAGTGACAATTCAGAAGACGATTGTGCCTATTTACCTCTCCCATATAAATGCCAAAGTACACTTTGGGGCTGTCAGGGTGGAAGAGGGAGGTTTCATTTACCTTCCAATTAAGATGCCCTACTTGAGGCTAATCCTCATTTGGATATTGGGATCCGGGGCCAACAATCCTTTTGTGAAGCCTCCAAATGAATCATGCTTAACCCAAGTCAGCCCAAGAGACAGGCAGCAGGAGCACCCAGGGGCCAGGCGAGAAACCCTAGGATTGTGCATGAACCAGTTTAGAGGATGGTCCATGGGATTAGACAAGGGAGTCTTTACAAAATGAGCATGTAAGAAACCTTGGCTTGCAACTGGGCATAGTGGCTCATGCCTGTAGTCCTAGCACTTTGAGAGGCCTTGGCATGTGGATCACTTGAACCCAAGAGCTTGAGGCCAGCCTGACAACTTGGTAAAACTCTATCTCTACCAAAAAAATGCAAAAATTAGATGAGCATGGTGGGGCGTGCCTATAGTCCCAGCTACTCGGGAGGCTGAGGAGGGAGGATGGCTTGATCCCAAGAGATGGAGGTTGCAGTGAGCCAAGATTGTGCCAATGCCCTCCAGCCTAGTAAACAGGCTGTCTTAGTAAATAGACCCTCTCTTAATTTAAAAATCTTCTTTAAAAAGAAGGCTTGACTTGCCTATTACCACCTCTCCCTGACACATCCAGGATGAGTTACATAATCTGCAGGACAAAGTGCAAAATAATAATGTGGGCTCCTTGTTCAAAATGATTGAGAATTTCAAGACAGTGACAGCAGAACTTTAGATGAAGCACAAGGCCCATGAATCCAGCCCTGTCCACACCCAACCTCTTCCTCAACTCCCAGAAGTGAATTTACCTTGGATGAAGACTGTAATTTGCCAGATCTGCTAGCTGGCTGAGCTCAGGGTACATGGCCCTAGGAATAGAATGGGGCCAGAAGAAAGACCAGAACAGAGAAATGAGGTATGGGCAACCCAAAGATGGATGGGCCCTCAGTAGATCACATTTTAAATATTTTCACCTTTAAACTGCTTCCTTAGACATTACTACCTACAAAACATAGCACATACACACACACACACACAAACACACACACACACAAATCCACATTAAAAACACAAAAACTTCTTGGAAAATACACTGACCATGTCATATGTTGGCAAGGTTGTGGAGCAACTGGAACTCTCGTATATTGCAGATAGGAACCGTCAGATGGTTCAGCCACTGGACAAAACAGTTTGACAGTTTCTTAAGAATTAAACATATCTTTACCATAGGGTATTTACCTGTATTAGTGGGCCCTGGATGCCATAAGAAAATACCACAGACTTGGTGGCTTACACAAGACATGTATTTTCTCACAGTTCTTAAAGGCTAAAAGTTCATGAGCAAGATGGCTGCAAAGCTCAGGTTCTGCCGAGGGCTCCCTTCCTGGCTCGTAGACGGCCCCTTCTCACTGTGTCCTCACAAGGCCTTTCTTCAGTGCTCTTAGAAAGAGAGAGCTCTGATATCCCTTCCTCTTCCTATAAGTACACCAGTACTCTCAAGTTTGGGTCACATCCCTATGACTTCATTTAACCTTAATTACCTCCATAGAGTCCCTATCTGCAAATACAGTCACATTGGAGTTTGGAGTTTCGACATATAAATTTGGAGGTGGGGCCAGTGTCGTGGCTCACACTTGTAATCCCAGCAGTTTGGGAGGCCAAAGTGGGCGGATCACTTGAGGTAAGGAGTTCAAGACCAGTCTGGTCAACATGGTAAAACCCCGTCTCTATTAAAAATACAAAAATTAGCCAGGTGTGGTGGTATGTACCTGTAGTCTTGGCTGCTCAGGAGGCAGTAGTGGGCGGATCACTTGAGGTAAGGAGTTCAAGACCAGTCTGGTCAACATGGTAAAACCCCATCTCTATTAAAAATACAAAAATTAGCCAGGTGTGGTGGTATGTACCTGTAGTCTTGGCTACTCAGGAGGCAGTAGTGGGAGGATCACTTGAGCCTGGGGGGCGGTCCTCACTGTAATGAGCTGTGATTGTGCCATGGCACTCCAGCCTGGGTGACAAAGAGACATTGTCTCAAAAAAAAAAAAAAAAAGAAGAAGAAGAAGAAGAAGGAAATCAAATTTACTGTTCATTAAGAAAATTTGGGCTGGGCTCGGTGGCTCATGCCTGTAATCCCATCACTGTGGGAGGCCAAGGCAGGCAGATCACTTTGAACCCAGGGATTCGAGACCAGATGGGGTGGAACCCCATCTCTACAAAAAAAAAAAAAAAAATACAAAAATTAGCTGGGTGTGGTGGCATGTCCCTGCAGTCCCAGCTACATGGGAGGCTGAAGTGGGAGGCTCACTGGAACCTGGGAGGTGGAAGAAACAGAGGCTGCAGCATGCTGAGATGGCGCCACTGCACTCCAGCCTGAGCTACAGAGTGAGACCCTCTCTCCAAAACAAAAGGAAAGAAAAGATAATTTAATGTTTGTAAAGATCAAACAACAAAAATAAATAAAAACCATTTGCCAGGAGCCTAGGGGCTTATTTGCCATACCATCCTAGTGCTTGAGATCATTTCAAATTCTTTCTCTCCTGCTTCTCACTCACTCACTCATTCAAAGGAAAAAAAAACACTTGCCACTCATTTAGCTCAACAGCTCTTTATTAAACCACAAGGCACAAAGTTCCATTTTGGGTGTCGTGCAATTTACAGAACCTTAATTTCAATGAAGGAGGCCATACAAGCCAGCAGGGCTTGTATGCACAGGGTCACCTAACAGCTATGACTACGGGTCAAAAGAGTGGTCAACCTAAGGCACCCTGCAGAAGGGGAGCTGGGGACATAAGCACCCAACCTCACTCTCCTCCCTGCCTCTGGTCTCTCCCAGATATACCACTGGCCAAACTCAACTTGAAACTAGTGGGCATATAAGCCTTTGGTATTCTCCATTTAAGTCAGGCTCCCAGGACAGAGGATGGAAAGTGGATACAGAGAGACAAATGGAAGACATGTAGCACCACCCACATGGATCTGACTCTTGTT